TTATGGTGGACTCTCTCTCTCTCTCTCTCTCTCTCCTCTCTTCCTTATTTAACAAAGAATATTTTTAAAAGTTTATATATATATTTTTTAAAAAGTTAAGATTACAGATTGTATTGAATAATTGACTTCATTGGTATTTACAATTTAGCCGAAAAAAAAGTCTGCTAATGGTTGGAGAGAGTAATTTATTACCAATAATTATTGAATTAATTGAACGTGTCTCAATATTTCTTGAACAAAATTTATAAATAGTGCTTTATTGAATGAAAAGTGTATTAATGAGCGATTGATATTATGCTGGGTGACCTCAAAATCCAGGATTATGGAGATTTGATGCCAATCCAAGCTAAATTGTCACATAATTATCCCACATTTGAATAAACTGATTAGGAGAGTATATAGTGTAACATCCTGATTTTTATATAATAAAGAAATTGTGAAATTTAGGTTTTGAAAAAAAAATGATAATAATAGGAATTTATATTATTTGAGGTTATTTAGAAATAATATTATGATTAGGTATTTAATTATAAATTTAAAAATTTAAATTTAAAACCACATAAGCAATATTTAGTTAAGATATAATACATAAATAATTTTTTTTATGTGTGTGTTAAAAAAAAAAGAGAAGGTAGAAGGAACAAAAAAAAGGGAGGGTGAAAGGTTGTTATTTCTAAGTCCCACATTGGTTAGATGAGGGAAGAGAAGAGGTGCCTTCATGTATAAAAAGGAGGGGGGTGTGTGCATTAGGAAGCATGAGAGGCTAAGATGCAATTTAGAGGAAATTGTAACTTTTGGCCCAAAGGTTTGAATAATTAAATTTAAACCTATAGTTTTTTTTAATATAATTTTGGGACTCACAATCCCATTTTTATATTATTTTTCTCTCTTCCTCTCACGTTGCTCGGCGTTTTCTCGCAAGGAGGGATTATTTTCTTTTTCTTCAGGTATGTTCTAACTTTCCTGTTTAGATTAGCATTTAAAAATTTATTTAATTACAAAATTAATTTTATAGTTATTTTCTAAATAATATTAGCTTTCTAGTGATATGATTATTTTGTAGGATAGAGTAAATATTTTGATTAGGATTTTTCTATAGGATAGTTAATCTGATGATATGATGGATTAAAAATATAGGTTAAAACTCTTAGGGATATAATAAATATAATAGAATATTTTCTTGAGGTTGAAACTCATGTTTAAGAATTTTTGAGTTAAAATCTAGATCTATATGGTTGAATTTATGTGGAATCTGAGATGTAGGGATAAACCTATGATTATTAAATATTTATTTAAGTATGAATAGGTATTTTTGAGGTTAAAGAAAGGTGATTTGAGACTTCAGGATAATTTTAAAATTTTTAATTTATTTTTTGGACGAATTTTTAGAATATAGAAGGATGAAATTGTGATACTAGAAGTGATTTGAGGATAAAAAATAGTTTATTAGGGTACGAGAATTTTAGAAAAAAAATTTGGGAAGTTAAATGAGGCATAAATCTTAAATTAGTATTAATATGAATTATAGATATAAGACTTTCTAATTCTTTAAATTAGAGTTATTTATTTTAATGTAAAATTAATATATAGTATTGTGAAATAATTATGTAGATTATATTGACAAAGATAGTGGTGAAAAAGGAGTTGTGAAGGGGAGTTTGTTATTCAAGACACAAGGTAACCATTATTAATGTGTTGTGATGAGTATGTTTGTGAATGGTTATGTGTTGACTTGTTGTTTGAAAAAACTATGAATTATTGAAAATAAATACTGTTATATACTTGTTTGAAATTATTGCTAAGTGGGTTAAAAAATTTATTTTTGTTTATCATGATGAGATATTATTGTTCGGATATATTCTTGTTTGGATATTTGAATTATGCATGACTTGTCAGGGTATTTAATGTATGGTGTTAATGAAAATTTCTGTTCGGTTAATTATTACCACGGAGTAAGCCCTCATTGGATCCAATGAGTGGCGTGTCGCTTGGTCCAACTCACCTTTGGCCGGGTGATTTGGCGTCCGAGCATGGCGAAAGGAGGATATAAGGTGTAGTCATGCAAATTAAATACTTGTTCGGTTTGTTTGAAAATATTGTTCGGTTAAATGTTTTGTGTGCCCACTTAGCAATCGCATGATTAGTTACAATCGCATGTATCATTACATATTAATTTTTGGTTACTGGGACTTTTAAGTCTCATTCCTCGTAGTTAATATTTTTACAGGAGCGAGTCCGGCCGAGAAAGCACCAGAGGTGTAACTATGGTGTATGAAACACCATCTTTTACGTTGCTTCTTATTTTAGATTATACAATGTATCTTGTGCCAACTTAGGACATATCTTCTTTGTGAAGTATGTAAACTCTAATCCTTTTTATTAAAAGTATTTATTTGACCAAGAGGATTATGTTTGTCTCTCTTGATTCATGACCCAATTTAAATATCATGCCATGAGGATCCTGACTGTCCCTCATGGTTCTAGTTGCTTTTTTGAGATATTTTAAGACCTGTGGTATATTGTATTGGATGTATCATGGTAAGAAAATTTTCTACCATGATAATGGTTTTAATAATTTGCGAAAAATCAGTTTGTATTTTTGAGAGTGTTACATATAGCAATTAGATTCCTGGTAGGGGTATGTCTTTCTTTTTTTTTTGGTCCAAAGTATCTTCACAAGTGATAGAACTAATCTCTGGAAAAATTTAAATGCCATTTAAGGGATTTTTTTAAATAATATTTTTCTGTATATATCTTTAGGAATCAAATCCTGTAATGATATTTAAGAAGTCTAAATCACCACCATATATATCATATCCATTTGGTGTAGGGGTATGTCTTTTAAAAAAAGGTGTTTGCAAATTATTGATCGAATTAACTTGAGTCATAGACTTACAAAAAAAAAAAAACTGTCAAATGTCAATTGCGGATTGCCTCATGAAAACTTTTTGATGGTCATTTATGCTTTATTGTTTGTTAACTAATTACTTTGGTTACTAATAAGATGTTTTAGGTATCATAAGTGAGTTGAAATGGTCTTTGGTGGTGAATGGAGAAGAAAGAGTGATATTTATGGATTAAATGAATATGATGTTTAGATATTTTCTCAATAAATTTATGATAAAAATTATTGATGAATTTTTTGGTGTATTTAAAGGAGTTTAAGATAAAATGATGAGCATTACTTATGTTTGACACCACTGAAGTTTAAAGAATAGTATTTTAGGCAAAGTTTTTGAAATTTGAATTTTAGTATATCAAATTACCTTTTATGTCATGTCATGTTTGAAGATGTAATTTAATCATATCAAAATAAGGTAGAAGAAAATTCAAAACTGACAACTGTCCACTATAGCAATTGGGAATTGAAGATTTTTGGATTTTACAAGGTGCTATCATTGTTTTCAATAGAATTTTTACCCCCAATAAAGTTAATTCAAAGGAAAGTGAATTGTATGGGGTGAATTTTTTGAAAAGAGTATTCAAAATTGATGAATGTCGAACATTCACATTGAAAAAAAAGAGAAAGATGAGATTGTTTAAGAATTGTGATTGTACTATTTTTCATAAAGTTGGTTGAGTTAATATTTAGTAAAAAATTCATGGATAGTTTGACACATATAAATATAATAATAATGTCAAAGAGACCATTGGTAGAAGGGACTCTTGAATTAGAGATTTCCTGTTAAGGAATAAGTGGAAAATTCTCAAACTAATGGGTTTCAGGATTACCACCTTGAAATAGTTTCATTTTTAAAATAATAAAAAAAATTATGCATAAGTTATATTAAAAAAAATTTATTATTAAAAAATATTCAGTTATGTAAGTTGTAAATGCCTTCTATTCAATTATAAATGTGCAGGATTTAAAACTTAAAAATATTTTATAAATTTTATGGAACCTCTTAATAATAAATTCTCTTCTATAGAACCTAAATGTAATTTTCTTAAATAATAATTTGAAGAGCTTGTCATATTTATTTATATCATGTTATATTTATTTACATTTTTCTTATTTTGAGAACTTGAATATGGACAACTATTTTTGGAACGCATCTACCGTAAACAACAATCAAATGAAACTGGTTTCTCTTTGAATTGATCTAGTTGGATAATCTGAGCCAGGGCAACAAAATTGTAAAAAAATCCTGAGATATCACAATTGATGTCCTTTAATATTCTTCTCACTAATGGCGAGAGAAAAGTTGAGAAAAAAATTAAAAGAAATGAAAATATAATATTATTAATTCTTATGTTTAGATAGACATGGAAAAGTACACAAAAAAAAAAGAAGCAAATAACACAACCACGATAATATCCTTATATTAAGACATATTGTCATTATTTCGATTAAAATAAACTGAAGACAAAAAAATCATATTAAAATTGTTACCATCAAAATATCCTGAAATAAAACTATTTAGGAAAAATATAATTTTGAAAATATATTATTTATCATATTTCATTGTTAGTCTTGTACATTATTTTTGTTGTTCCATATCTTTATAGTTTTTCTTGCCCGCAAAATGAGTCCTACTTTTAAATATATTTGGAGGGATGAAGATGTGGCATGGTGATGTTAAACTATCTGATGTTTAACTAATGGTATTAAGTTTTATGCTGAATGTTTAATTTTTTTTAAAAAAAAGAGGCAAAACAAACACAAAATACACAGTAACAAAAATCAACCCGAAAAAAGATGAAAACCATACATGACTACACAAAGACAAAATAAACTCCAACATTAACAATAACAAAAAATAACAATCAATGGCTTAAAACTTACAAGGGGGGGGGGGGGGGAAAAAGCGAAGTATCACATTGTTGTTTACAAAACCAACTGCAAATAGATAAGTTTTTTTTTTTTTTTTTTGGGTCAGATGAGTTTAAAGTCTATATAAATGAATGAAATAATATGCAGTAAAATGACATTTGATACACGTAAGATAATTTAATACTTTTATTCTATTTATTCTTGATATGATCATTTTCACCCGCCGGAGTTAGAATTACGGCACGGAGGATGAACCTCGATTTCGCATCCAAGGCGATTCCATTTTCAGAAACTCATTCCAATACGGTAATTCGCCGTCCCAAAAGAATTTTCATAAAAGCTTGTTGTCTACTTCTCGAGCCTACACTGCACCGTTCCGTGACTTCCCGTCTTTCGACCGTCCACAATGCTGTAAAAGCTGAGAGAAAGGGGCGGGGCGGCTATCTGATCCGGCTTTATATCTCTGCCGGGACCAAAAAATCAACAAATTCTTGTCTGCTAGGTGAAAAGGCCTCAAGCCTTTCGATGTCTGAGAGGTAGGACCGTGTCTTGTTAGATTTGTATTTAGCTACCTATACGTCTGTAAAGAGGAAGGAGGCCGTGCAGCCCAACTCCTACTCATCCCGATACTGCATCTATTCAATTTGAGCTAGAGGGTAAAGTTGTACTTTCATGACTCATAGCCTTTGGAATTGTGATATCTGTTCACCCATTATTAATGCACATGGCATTTCTGCTTGTCCTCTTCTTGCGTGGATCTTCAGGACATCTTGGGTCTTGTCACAGCGGGTTCGTATCCCACAACCGGAGTCTTTTTCACAAACGATCTCTCCCTAGACAACCCAACAGGTACCTTCACCTTTACTCTCTTCTATGTTTATGCTTCATTCCAGTTCTGTTCTGTTGTTAGGAGCAAATGTTGTCTTCTCTCTCTTTTTACTTGCGTTTGGATATTTATGATTATGTTCATATCTTTTGGGTTATTGGGTTTGGTTCGTTCTTTCTGGAGCATCAAATTGTTTTCATTTCCTCAAGTCGTCATGTCCGTCTGTCCTATCTGATTCTGGCTTGGGAAGCATTGATCATTTAATGAGTTCCAGTTGTTGAATTCAACTTTATCGGCGCAATTTTTTTAAGTATTAAATTGCTTTATAAGGGTTTCGACTAGATATCTTGGTGTAATATTATATACGTACTTCACTCTGTCTAATGACAGATCAAGTTTCCAACTTTTGGGATTAAACTATTGAAATGTGCTTCTAATGGCCTGTTGGTGGAGCTGCAAAATATCGTTTTGGTTTTTTATATAAGAAATATAGAAACGAAACATAAACAAGCCCGGATGAATGAGATAAAGCCAAAAACTTCTTTGCAGGAACTTACAGTAAAATTTATATCAGTGGTCCTGTGCAGTTGTGTAGTACTTTGTGAGTTGAGTGAAGCCATTTTTTATTTTTATTTTTATTTTTATTTTTTGCCGGTAGATAAATACTCGCTACCTCCCATTGGCCATTAGATCTTGCATGAATGACGAAGCATAAAATTTTGCCATGTGACCTTTTTTTATACGTTTTATTCCTGACCATCAATGCGGTGGCTAGTGGCTTCACCCTCACAATAGACTCGTGTTCTCAGTATGTATAACCTCTTAGTTTTGATTTTCTATAGAATAATGTATATGCTAACATATGGGAACAAGTTGAAGTTTTCCTTATGAGAATGAATTCGGAACATAAATGATATTCAACTAAAAGTTTCAATCTGTTATTTTTCTTTAAATGGATTGGAGAGCCTGCTATGCATCTCCTCAAAATTATGTTTATGTGATGTCTTATTTGATGCTCTTGTTAATCTGTAGGAACATGCTAAAGGTCCCAGAACATCAAGTTGCTGGCCATCTTGCTGAAGATGGTCGTCTTGGTCCATTAGTTGATGATGCTGGTCGCTTCTATAAGCCTCTTCAAAGTGATGAACGCGGTTCCCAGGAGGCAAAATTCTATAAATCTCTCTATTCTGATGCCAGGATTCCTGATCACATCCGCAGATACTTCCCTATCTTTTATGGTATCAAGGAAATCAATGCATCAGATGGGTCTGGCATGCATGCCCACCTTGTCTTGCAAGATCTTGTCTCCAGCTACATAAATCCATCCATCATAGATATCAAAATTGGTTCCAGGACATGGTATCCGCAAGCTTCTAATGACTACATTCAGAAGTGCAAGCAAAAAGATCTAGAAACCTCCAGTCTCTTATTGGGTTTCAGGATATCAGGATTGAAGGCTTTTCTATCCAAGGACTCTGGATTCTGGAAGCCTGAGAGGAAGCTTGTACAAAATCTATCTGCAGAGGATGCCACATTGGTTTTGAAGAAGTTTGTTTCTTCAAATGCACCTGCAAATCATGGCAAGCAACCTGATTGCTTTTTGGCATCGGTGGTTTATGGTGGTTCTTCTGGGATTTTAGCACAGCTCTTTGAGCTCAAGGCATGGTTTGAGGTTCAAACCATTTTCCACTTCTATTCTTCTTCAGTCCTTATCATGTTTGAAAAGGAATCTGTACTAAATGGAAAGAGTCCAGGTGCTACCGTTAAACTAGTTGATTTTGCACATGTTGTGGAAGGAGAAGGTGTTATTGATCATAACTTCTTGGGTGGCCTTTGCTCTTTAATAAAGTTCATTTCAGATATTGTAGCATCTCCAATTGAGTAGTGCATTGCTAATGGTAAGGACACTAAAAGTGAAAATTGTTCAGATGGGTCTCTTTTCTCTTTGAAAAGTTAGCCTTCATCACTTGACTCCTGGGAGGATTTAAGAATCTAAACTTAATTGGTGATATTGATTCCAAATGTATCGACATCCAGACTCAACATTCGGATTGAATAACATGCTCTCTTAGGCATCACCAGTCAAGTTGCTTCTTCCGTTATCCAACTTCTTAACATCAGTGGCGTCACTATTGTGGCTTTTGGCTTTATCTTTTTTTTTTTTTTAAATCTATAATTGCTTTTTGTTGGAGTGAACATTGATGATAATCTTCTCTTCTTTTTCAAATTTAGTGTTTGATTTAATGATCAAGAGTGTTTCAAGGTCCTCATAAACAGGTCCTTGCTATTGAACTTGATGAAGGAAAAAATGTTAATAAGCAGAGCTCCTGTCTCATTCATATTTTGAATGAGCTCAGTTACAGTTATCTGGATATTGAACCATGAGTACAATTTGGTTCCATTTGAGATTAAGAGGCCAAACTTACCTCCCTTTTTTTTGGGGGGGGGGGTATTATGGCCGTGTTTATGCATGCAGTGATTGAAATTTAGAGACTAAATTTACTTCCTTTCTTTTTGGATTGTGGTAGTGTTTATGCATGTAGTGATTGAAATGATGTTTCTTTTGTCTTGAGACTTATTTCTTTGCCGCTTTTTTTCTCAATCTGGGTTACAAGTTCTGCTAGTTAGCTGATATTGGTAATTTGTTTTCATTTCTGTGCTCTGATGGTGTTTGAGACATTCTTTGAACCAAGCCAGGCCTCCAGGGTTGTTAGTTTCTTCACTAATGCATCTTTTTCTTAGAGAAATAGTAATAAAAATGTGGGCAGAGGGCTTCACTTCCTCTCTTTCTTCTTATTTCATGTTTCCTTTTTATTTTTCTCTAAATATACAGCATGAACTTAGTTAAATATTTATGATTTGGATGTAATTAACCAACTATTAACAGTGCCTTTGCGTGTCTAATTTTTTTGTTCATATTGTCAGATTATTATCATAGTCATATTCTTTCACTTTGCAGCTTATTATCCAGTCAAGAGAAGATCTTCCTCATTGTTCTACTTGATCTTTTGTCAAATTACTGATCTGACGTTAGAATCCCTGAGCATGTTCATAGTTTTCTTGGATTTAATAGAATCAACAAGCGTAGCTGGCATGAGAATGAATGCTGAAATTTGTAAGTGGCTTGTAGGGTTTAATAAACTCGTTTTTCTTGTTTCTTTCTTTCGTTTTTTTTAACAAAGGCTCAAGTATTATGCCACATAGAGAAGAGAACACGTCATAAACCTCATCACGTACATAATCTAAAGCTAGGTTCCTACACCCTAAGCGAGGAGCATCTAAAGTCATAAACTTGACATCTATGTGCTATGCATGTTTGGCCACCCAATCTGCACAGTGATTAACCTTTTTGAACTTATGATCAAAGATACCAGCCAGTCCTGCGTGACCGCTTCACTAATTTCATTTTATGACACTTGTCGTAGGACGATACTTAGAGAATCCCCTTTGAATCAGGTTCTAACTTCTAAAGCCTCAATTGAGTCCTCCGATACTCTTAACTTCCCTGAGTGCCTATTTCCAACAGAGCTTCTAGTGGTCAAGGTCAAGGATCCCTATCAACTCCAGTGATGTACTTGGTAAATAAGCTCGCTTTCTTTCTTGCTTTCTTTGTTGAGTGAAAAATAACTTAGCTTTTTAGTAAAATCTCCGTTTTTTTCTTATACTTATTAGAGGACTGTGTCTAGAGGATTCTCGTTGAAACGTGTTTCCTATGCTTTTGTTCGTTTCCCTGTATTAGCAATCCAAAACTTCCTATGGGGAAGAAAATGATTTAGGCATGGGTATTCATTATGATCTAATCACCACCATCATCATCACGGTCATCCCAGAAGAATATGTAGGAGTGGGAAAAAAACCAATTAAACATTGGAAGCAACATGTTGCTGTGAACTACAAGTGGTGCTATCAGACATTGAAGGTCTGGTTCTCTGACTCTCAACTATGTTTTTCCAATGTAAGCAAATTATTCTATTGATTTGAACCAAACATGTCGTGTTAAGAGAGATTGGTTATATAAAGGGAAGGTTTTGTAATTTATGGTTTGTTTGTATAGAGTTTAGGTCAAAGATCACTGTCCAAAGAGACAAGGCCCCAAGGGGTGTCCTAGAATTTGAATATGTATTGTCTCGCTTCCTCCTCATCAGTTCTATGAATTATAAATTGAAACAGTGACAATAAGATGTTATTACTTTTGTCTTATCCTTTTGCCTTCATCTCTATGCACTGCAAGGTCTTGATGTTTAGTCCTTAGTAAGCAAATTCGACTTCCAAAAAACGTTGTGTTTTGAATTAATGAACTCACAATATAATTATTTGGAATTTGGAGTGAAGTGTGTGCATTATTTATTTATTTTTTTAAATAAATACTTGAGATTCTTTTTTGTCAAATTAAATGTTTTGTTATTAATATTTTTAGAGTATAAGTAAGTGTTTTGTGCTCCGTGTGTAACATTATGCAATTAACGCGGTCGTGTTAGGCGACAAAAAATGTTCATTTGTACTCTATATAAGCATCAATGTTAATTATGTATTTTTACTTAGAATTTATTAGTTATTACTTATATTTTATATAACTAGTTATTAAGGAAAGTGATATGTAGATAAATAATATTCTCTCCAATCATTATTATAAGGTGTTTTTAACAATTTCATTGAAACTAAGAAATGAAAATTAACTAATTTAATGTCTTAAGATTAAAAAAAAATTTAACTTTACCTTTATTAAAAATAGGAAAAGAGAGATGCATAATATATGATGAGTTATAATATTAAAAATCACAAAATACTTTTAGAATATATCTTATAATAAAGACCAAAGAAAATAACGCACCACACTTCCTAAATAATTGTCTCAAGTTTCAAAACTCCTTCACATGGTACATGTGAACATGACATAAAGTGGAATGGATTGGATAAAATATATAATAAAATGGACAAATTTATTTTTGAAGATAAATATTGTATATACTTTTGGATGAGAATAATAATAAAAATAATGATATTTATAATACATACATAGATAATAAATATTAAATATCTCATCCATTAAAATTTGTGTAAATAGTAAGGATTTTTATTACTTAAATAAGTGATTGCAAATTCAAATCACAATCATTATATATATAACAACTGAAAAATGTATATCTTTTGTTCTCATCATGTTGGCCTCAAGTAGGATAGTGATATTTATTATTAGCACAGCCTACACTTTTTAAATAGGGAAAATGTAATTCGAGGATTATTAAGGATATTTAATATTAATTAATAATAAAAAATTTTAAAATATCGTTGCAAGATCAAGAGATTGATTTAAAAATAATTGTAAATAGAAAAATATTATAATATCCTTGCTTTTTTTTTATTTGACAAGTAATTATTCATTAATTAACAAGTGCCAGTTCACATTTAATAAAAAATTATTAACTAATTGATAAGTTTAAAATTATAAAAAAGCTTAGTTGTAGAAAGGAACAAGTATAGAGCACATTTTAATAAATAATCATTTCTTAATTAATGAACATTCATTTACATTTAATAATAAATCATTTGTTAGTTGATAAGTTAAAAAAAAAGAAAATCAAAAGTATTATAATTTTTTTTATGTAAAATTATTTTTAAATCAGTCTTCTAGTGATATTTTAAAATCTTTTCATTTTTATTTGATATTAAGTTGCCTTGTTAGTTGTTGAATGACATTTTCCCTTTTAAATATCTCACAGGAGAAGCAACGAAAAAGAATCACGCCCACCATACGGAAGCTAGAAGAATTGAGTCCGTAACCTTTGTCTTTGTTCTCGAAATTTATTTGTTACGTCAAAGTCATTTTCCTACTTGATAATTAGCTCACTTCCATTTGAAAAATGATTGTTGGCTTTAATTACTAAGAAAAATCAATAATCCTTAAATAATAAATAGTGTGTGTGTCTGTTAATCTCAATTCTTGCTTTAATTAAGTCTTTTGCACTAATTATGTCTTTCATAGTCTATACAAATATTAATAGACCCCTTAATTTACTAGCTCAACTTGCAATAAGTTGATCTTCAGTAATCTTAATTTACAAAATTTAATTATATTCAATTACTAAACATTTTTTTATTAGTTCCTAGAAATAGACAAAAACGGACTTTTTTTTTTTTGGAGCAAAGTACAAACGCACTTTAACTTATCTCAAATAAATTAGTGTAGGGTAGTATTTTCACTTTTCCTGATCAAAGAGAAGAAGAAATCAATAGTGGGCCACACAAGAAGCTTCAGAAAACAGACAGGAACGGAGGATCCAATGGAAAAACTAATACGCATGAGCGAGGAAACAAAACAGTTTTCCGAAGTTCTTCATTTGGTCACTTTCCATTAAACCCAAAGGTCAGCCAAATGGCTCATGTAATTTTCCAAAATTTGACCCTGATTAAGTAATCTAAATTAGAATAATTTGATAAATTAATATAGTGTATGGTCAGGAAGGTCTAACTAATGTTTTGAGTTGTAGTTTCAACTTCAAATTTGAGACCAAAGTGAAATCAAGTTACTTGTACATCAGAAAGGTAGAAAATCAAAGGAAAAAGAGTTTGTGCCACATGCCACAACATACACCACTTCCGCATTGCACATAAGTGGCAGATAACGAAGGAGTGATCTCTATGTGTCATGCACCACGGCATACTTGCCAAAACTAGAGAAGAAAGTGAATTTTGAAAGAAAGGGAAGAGAAGCTCATGCCTTAGTCTACTAGGACTTGGAGATGAGAGCTTGAAGGAGTGATCCAAATTTATTTACACTCAAGTGAGCCATTACTAACCTCTTCTCCTTCTCTCTACACCATTTTAAAAGCTAGGTTTAGCATGGGATAATAATTTTCAATCCATAATAGCCATCAATTTGGACCCATTAATTTAAAAAGTGTTAATGAGAGTTATTTATATTATTTAAACATAGCATTTATGGCTTTACTCGTTTTTAGCATATGGGTGTTATTAATACCTAAAATTGGTCATTAACGAAGGTTGTTGGAGGTGTTTAGAGGCTATTAATGGCCATTGGCTAATGCCTTGATGATAATATGAACTAAAGAGAGCTAATAAATTCAATTGATATGTTTGACTGTGAAAGGTTGTGATTTTGTTAGGTGAGAGTGTTGAGTCAAAATGTTGGGATTTATCCTAATGAGAATATTGATGGGTGTGGTTATAAATTAATCACCATCGGCACCATTTAATCTTGAGAAAAGCTTTAGAAGAGTTTATTAAAGAGCTCTCAAAGGTTTGAAATAATCAGAAAATTTTGGCTTATACATTTGTTGTGATTAATTATATGTTGAATTCAAGTATTTACAAACCAAGTGATGTTTACAAACTCGCATTTGATGCA